GAAGCGAGACGTATTTGCCGCAATAAGAAGAGAGAGGCCGAACTACGTGATTGTGAAGAGCTTGAGATGCTGGCCGACAGGAAGAACGCCCGAAAATTCTACCAGAGGGTTAGGTGACTTACGGAAGGTTTCAAGACCGGGGCGAACTCCTGTAAGAACAACAATGGCGACCTAGTGACCGATGTCCAGAATATACTTAAATTTTGGAGGGAACACTTTTATAACCTACTGAATGGTAGCAGCGCTGAAAGTAGTGAAGAAGACGAACCCGAGTCCCCAGTCGATGATGATGGAGTAGCTGTCCCATCGCCTGACTATGACGAGGTACGAATAGCGATTACGCGGCTGAAAAACAACAAGTAGAATATGGTCAGGTGAACGCACGCCCGACGACTGGAAATTAAGTGTGCCCTGCCCAATCCACAAGAAAGGCGACCCCGCCATACGCGCCAACTACCGCGGAATCAGCCTTCTAAGCATAGGTTATAAGGTTTATCGAGTGTATTGTGCGAAAGACTGAAGCCCACCGTCAACGAGCTGATTGGACCTTATCAGTATGGCTTTTGGCCTGGAAAATCTACCATAGATTAGGTATTCACAATACGCCAAATCTTGGAAAAGAGCCGCGAGAATAGGATCGACACACACCATCTATTTGTCGATTTCAAAGCCGCTTTCGACATCACGAAGAGAAGTTGCCTTTATTCCGCGATGTCTGAATTTGGTATCCCCGCGAAACTAATACGGCTGTGTAAAATGACGTTGAGTAATACCACCAGCTCCGTCCGAATAGGGAAGGACCTCTCCGAGCCGTTTGATACCAAACGAGGTTTCAGACAAGGGGACTCCCTTTCGTGTGATTTCTTTAATCTGATGTTGGAGAAGATAATAAGAGCCGCAAAACTGAACCGCTCAGGCACGATACTTTACAAGAGCGTACAATTGCTGACGTATGCCGACGACATCTATATTATCGGTAAAAACAAGGGATACGTCTGTTCTGCCTTCTCGGAATTGGATAGAGAAGCAAAGCGAAGGGGTCTGGTGGTGAACGAGGACAAAACGAAGTATCTCCTGTCATCACACAAACAGTCAGAGCATACGCGTCTTGGCATCCACGTCACTGTTGACAGTTACAAGTGTGAAAAAGTAGACGACTTCGTTTATTTGGGAACCAGCATTAACACCAATAATAATGTCAGCCTTGAAATCCAACGGAGAATCACTCTTGCCAACAAGTGCTACTTTGGGCTGAGTAGGCAATTGAGAAGTAAAGTCCTCTCTTGTCGTACAAAGATCACACTCTATAAGTCACTCATCATGCCTGTGCTGGTGTATGGCGCGGAGGCATGGACAATGAAAGCATCTGATGAGCCGGCTCTTGGAGTTTTCGAGAGGAAGATTCTGCGAAAGATTTACGGACCTTTACGCGTTGGTGATGGCGAATATTGCAGACGATTTAACGATGAGCTGTATGAGCTTTACAACGATATAGGCATAGTGCAGCGAAATAAAATTCAGCGGCTCCGCTGGCTTGGCCATGTCGTTCGAATAGACAGATACGCTCCTGCTCTGAAAATATTCAACGCGGGCCGCGATGCTGGTAACAGAGGAAGAGGAAGGCCTCCTCTGCGTTGGAAATACCAGGTGGAGAAGGACTTGGCTTCACTTGGCATTTCCAATTGGCGTCAGTTAGCACAGAAGAGAAATGAATGGCGTGCTGTTTTGGACTCGGCCAAAATCGCTTAGGCGGTTACAGCGCCAATAAAGAAGAAGAAGTTAAAGCGCATAGTCAGCAAAATTGACAGATGAGAGAGAAAGAGCAAGTTATTAATATTACGATATTAAATTACCACAGTGCAACCACATTACTCCCATCCTAAGACTTCTCCAGGGTTACCACTGAAAATATCTTTCCTACCAAGAGCTGGTCCAAAAACCTACGAAATGGGTTCTTTCCTACCATTTCATTTTATCAAGAAAACGTCGTTTGACAGCGTTAAATACATTTATGTATTTTTGCTGGTTTTTATACTTAAAATAATATTTCCATGCTGTGGTGTAGTGGTTAGTAGTGCGCGCTACCATTCCAAGGGTTCAAGCCCGGTTTCCGACCAACATCAAAAGATGAAAAACAAAAGATTTTTGTTTCTAATAGCGGTCGCCCGTCGGTAAGCAATGGCACACCTCCGAGTGTACTTCTTCCATTAAAAACAATAATGTTCCATAACGCCGAACTACAAAATATTGATAATATGTACTTTTCCAAAACGCATCCCAAAAGTTATCGAAACGCATCGCTAAAGCAATCAGCACATCAGAAACAAAGTTGATACTTCGTTTGTTATTGGTTACCATTGGTGTTTTAAAAAAGGAATATTTAGAAAAATTGTTCATTGCTTTATTGAATATTTAAAACATCCAATGTATGTGGTTGCAATGTGTCGCAACTCTGCATATACAAACAGTTTGAATACCGCAGTATTACAGCATCCAAACATTGTATTGATACGTTTTGGAACTCAGCCATACATTCGCAGTTCGGAGTCGTCGTAAAACTGTAGGCCCTCCAATTTATGCGACAAAATCAAGGAGCACGCTACAAATCGGAGGCGGAGCTCGGGCAAACACTAACATGTGTATGTGCAAGCGTCAATCAAACAAAAAGATTAGAATAATAGCTAATATTTAGGTACATATGTATAGCACACAAAAAAAGTGGAGTCTACTTTTAACCAGACCCACCTACCGACATGTATTTCGACCCGCTGAATTCGAATCTGAGATTCGTTTGATTTCTAAACCCTCAAAATTTCAAGTAAATTGCGAAAAAGCCGAAAAATTCCCAATGTTTATAGTTTTAATAAAGCCTTCGAAGTTTTAGATTTCTTATACATCGCGCACTTGCATACAACTAAAGTAAAACACCGTTGTGGAGTTTTGCAATAATTATTTATTTCCCTTGCTTGTGCAAGGGCATCCGATGACCAATCGAATGCAAGCGAGTGTGTAAAGTTAATGAATGCAATATTACAAAATAATTGTAACTCTACCCTAACTGAAGCCGCAGTTGTTGCCGCGAGATATGCTGCCGCTGCTGCCGGCGTCGTAGTTCGGGTGAGTAGCTGTGTGTGTCGGTTGCCGTTGCTGCACCTGCTGCTGCATTTTCAGGTAAGTCTATGTTGTTTCGTTCTCATAGAACGTCAGCACTTTGTCTGCTACGTTAATACCAGTTGCGCGCGTAGCTCATACACCGGTGTTAATTTACATACATATGTATATTATGAAGTACATATCGTCACCTGAAATGCAAACACCCGATTTACATGATTCAAGTACTTGAAAGCAATTCTTACTCATTCTCTTTTGTGTTTTCTAGTTCTTTAAATGGGAAGCAACGAAAATGCCAAAAGCAAAGCAAGAAAGTTGAAACGACTTGACGGTACCGACGCATGTGTACTCGTCCCTTTTCTTCTCACCCCCTCTCTTCTACATGCGAGTAGAATTGAATTCAATACTAGAACTGTGTAAAAGCAGTCAAAAAGACGTAACAAACATCATCGCTGAAATGCAAAAGTCATAACCAATGAAAAATTCAAAATTCACTTTTTGATTTATATGATGGATTTCATCGAATTACAACTCCACACATCATTTTAGGAATAAAATAAAAATATTAGTCACGACTTTCACCATTTCAGTTGCGATGTTGTTACGTCTTTTTGCATTTCAGGTGACGATATACATAAGTTAGGTAAAAACAAAGCTCACGGCAAGGCTCCGGGTGTAGGAGCCGCCGGGCTTGGGGAAAAATCTGTTGTTTTCTTTTTTATTTTCGTTTATTATTAAAAATAACATATTCTGTAAACATGTACATCTGTTGTGTAGTATGCATTTGAACCGTCTTGTGAAATCTATCCATATGTCTATAAGAAAGTGACGTTAGCTACTACACTTATAACTCAAGAACGCCTGGACCGATTTCGATGATTCCCACCAATTCAAAAAAGTTTAATCAATTCAATACGCGGAAATTACTGAACTGATTTGAATGAATCTTTGCACAAAGATAGCTTATGACCCATATTGGAAAATAGGCTACTTTTCTTAAGAGTTGCCACCTGCTAAAAAAGTTTAAATAAATTATTACGCGAAAACGACTGAACGGATTTGCATGAAATTTTGCACGCGGATAGCGTGGAAAATATGCTACTTTTCTTAAGAGTTGCCACCTGCTTAAAAAGTTTGATTAAATTAATATACGGAAACGGCTGAATGTATTTGCATGAAAAGTTGTACGCAGATAGCTTATGACCTAGATTGGTGATACCTTTCTTAAGGGTCGCCACCTAAAAAAAAGTTTGAATGAAACGACTGAACGGATTTGTATGAAATTTTGCGTACGGATAGCTTATCACCTGGATTGGAAAATAGGCTACATGTTTAAGAGTTGCCACCTGCTAAAAAAGTTTAATTATATTAATACGCGGAAACGACTGATTTGATTTGCATGAAATCTTGCACACAGATAGCTTATGACCTACATTGAAAAATAGGCTACTTTTTTAAGAGTTGCCACCTGTTAAAAATAATTAATTTAATTAATACGCGAAAATTACTGAACTAATTTGCATGAAAGTTTGCACATAGATCTATCTAAATATATAAAAGAGTGTGACGCTAGTTACTACGCTTATAACTCAAGAACGCCTGGACTGATTTCGGTAATTCGCACCAATTCAGACTGGCCTCCGGCCAAGCAAGAGGAATACCTAAGAAAATTCCGGAAAACTCCCCGAAAAAAAATTATAATGAAAATAACTTACACACATTTTGTATGGAGAGATTTTATGATCTTGATGACCGATGACGTTTATATTTACGTTACGTTGTGGCAGTTTTTTTGGCAATTTTTTGCGACAATTTTTTCTACCAAATTTGTGTGACAATTATTTATGTAGCAATTTTTTTGTCACACATTAAAAACGAACATGATTTCAAATGATGGCTCCGCATGCGCACATTCTCATTTGGTTAGTCGAAAGAATGCAACCTGACCAAATTGATGACATCACATTTGTCCAGATTCCTGATCCCGAAACCGATCCAGACCAGCATGTTTTCGTTATTACAAACATGAGTCATGGACCGTGTGGCGTCATTAACCCACAATCAACGTGCATGGTCGACGGCAAGTGTTCCAAGCGTTATCCACGAAATTTGACTGCTGAAACTATCCCTGGCAACGATGGTTATCCACTATATCGGCGTCGATCATCTGATGATGGCGCTAGAACAATCACAGTCAAAGTGAAAGGAAATGATTTCCTTGTCGACAACTCTTGGGTTGTTCCGTATTCGCCACTTCTTTCCAAATTATGCAAGGCGCATTGTAACGTGGAATATTGCAATTCACTGAATTCCATCAAGTACATCTGCAAATATGTCGCAAAAGGCAGTGACAATGATGAAATCACGCGCTATCAAGTTGGTCGATACGTAATCTGCAACAAGGCGATTGGTCATTTCCCATTCACGAATGCTATCCCACTGTTACATATACGGCAGTGCATCTGGAGAACGGTCAAAGAGTTTATTTTACTGCAGCAAATGCCGCTTAACGTACTCAAAACCCACCAGCGACAACATTGAGCAGTTTCTTCTCGATTTGCCAACGCGATCCGTTTGCACTGACGTTACTTTACTCAAAGATGCCGCGTTATTACACTTGGAATGCTTGATCGAAGAAATTTCAACGTCGAAAGCAAGGTGGTGTAGTTCCTGGTCATCCGGATGAGCGTTCTACTGAAGCTCTTGGCCGTATTTATGCAGTTTATCCGAAGAATGATGAATGCTTTTACTTGCGACTATTGCTGATGAATGTTCGTTAGCCGACATCATTTGAATCACTTCGAACTTTCCATGGTGTAGTGTTGCCAACATTTCGTGCTGCATGTCAGGAGCTCAATTTGCTTGAAACCGATACGCATTGGGACTCGACAATCGCTGAAGCAACTGCTTCCGCATCTCCAAGTGAGATACGCACATTATTTCCACATGTTTTCCATCGAATCCACGTGAATTAAGGGACAAGTACAAGGATGACATGCCAGAAGACATTTTGTATCGAGTTCGTGTCCATTCAGAGAATCTCCATCTCGAGTTGAATGAAGAGATGCACAACCAGGCTTTGGTTTTGATAGAAGACATGTGTTACCGCATGTGCGGCAGTTTGTTAGTCAGGTTTGGAATGCCATAGCCAAATCGTGGAATAAACGACGCTTTCGAACGAGAATTGCAGCGTGAACGTGAATACGACAAAAATGCATTACGCCAATTGGTTCGAACGAATGTACCTTTGTTGAATCCCCAACAAAAAGAAGTGTACGATACGGTGATGAAGGCAATTGATGATGAAAATGTTGGCATGTTTTTCCTTCATGCGCCTTCACTGATTTTGGCTACAGTTCGTGCAATATCAGAAATTGCTGTAGCAGTTGTTTCTTCTCTAATAGCAGCTACGCTGCTGGAAGGTTGCCTAACCGCTTATTCGTCATTAAAATTGCCATTAAACCTTCAAGCGGTTGAAGAACCAACATGTAGCATAGCGAAACATTGAGCAATAGCCAAAGTTTTGGTAGCAAGCAAAATCATTATCTGCGACGAATGCACAATGTCACATCAACGTGCGTTAGAAGCTCTGAATCGCACTTTGAAAGATCTGCGTAATGACGAAAGACATTTTGGGGGTGCATTGATTTTACTCTCAGGCGATTTCCGGCAAACGCTACCAGTAATAGCACGATCGACCGCTGCCGATGAGATCAATGCTTGTCTCAAATCATCCACATTGTTTCGTTATGTGAAAAAAAAACTTCAGCTGACGACGAACATGCGACTTGCATTGCTAAATGATCCATCTGCCGAAGTGTTCTCCAATCAACTGCTAACTATCGGTAATAGTCATGTTCCTCTCGACGCATCAAATGAATTGATTTCGTTCCCGCCAAATTTTTGAAATTTCGTCTCAAAGAAAGAGGAGCCACATTGCCACATTGGCGTTATGTGAAAAAACTTCAGCTGAAGACGAACATGCGACTTGCAATGCTAAATGATCCATCTGCCGAAGTGTTCTCCAATCAACTGCTAACTATCGGTAATAGTCATGTTCCTCTCGACGCATCAAATGAATTGAGTTCGTTCCTGCAAAATTTTTGCAATATTATCTCAAGGAAAGAGGAGCTCATCAACAAAGTGTTTTTGAATATCATTGCTAACCGCAGAAACTACAGATGGTTGAGTGAAATTGCCATTTTAGCGGCAAAGAACAAGGATGTGGATCACTTAAACTGCACAATTCAAAATCAAATCGGTGGTTCACTGCATTCCTTCAAATCTATGGACTGTGTAACAAACGAAGACGTAGCAACCAATAATCCAACTGAGCTTTTTAATTCATTCGATGTGCCTGGCTTGCCACCGCACAATTTACAATTGAAGGTTGGTTCAGTCGTCATCATGCTTCGCAATCTCAATCAACCAAAATTATGAAACGGAACGCGTTTAGCGGTCACAAAATTCATGAGCAACGTGATTCACGCGAGAGTACTAAAAGGAAAGTTCAAATTCCAATAGTTCCAATGATCCCCACCGATATGCCATTCGAGTTCAAACGAATCCAACTTCCAATTCGTCTCGAATTCGCCATGACAATCAATAAATCCCAAGGCCAATCATTGAGGGTTTGAGGCCTGAATCTGGAAAATGAATGTTTTTCACACAGTCAACTGTATGTCGCATGTTCCCGTGTCGGAAAACCGTCCGCTTTGATCGTTTTCGTACATGACAACAAAACGAAAAACATCGTTTATCACAGAGTGCTTCAATGAGGGGAAATACAATTCAAAATCGACCCGACCGCAACCCAACCAGCAAACATTTCAACAAAAAGCATCAATTCCAATGGACAATTGACCACAGACATTCTGCAATTTGAAATGTCTGCCGACTGTCATACTTTTCGGAGACAAAATTCAAAATTTTTCATTTCTCCAGTATAACAATTGGCAGTCAGTTTCAGATTGACCCCAACAATGTTCAATGTTATGGAAACACTTTTGATTTAATTAAAGTAATTTTGGGTATTCAGTTCACGAATAAAATTCATACAAATAAATGTGAATGAGTCGTTTTATTGTTAAACAATAAATCTTTGCCATTATCATACTGGTGGTCAATTTTCGAAATCATCTTCTTCGGACCAAACGAAATGAAGAGCGGCGGCTTCTTATCAGGGAAGCGGTTATTGGGATTTTAATTTAAAAGATACAATTTTACGCGGGGCAACGCCTGCGGGGTCAGCTAGTTTAAAATATCGTAATAACCTTGTCATTGTTGAAACCATTATCGATTCGCAACTGATTTATAAACCTGCCTTTACATCCATAAATTCAATCATTTGATATTTCTTTAAATACGCAGTGGATAAAACTTTTTATAGCGTATACGGTAGTGGTGGCAAACTATCGATGGCATTATCGATACTATCGATGGTTTTGGTTTTTTTCACTATCGATAGTTTTTCAAACCTATCGAGTATTTTCACTATCGAAAATTGTCCAAATTTAAGACACAAAAATGATGAATGGCCATTGTATATAGCGGCAATACTTTTATATAAAGATGCTTTCCATTTCCAGACAACCGGTCAGGTACGAGCATGATTTTTAATTTCGACCAAACTCAAATACATTGTTTGTTGGTCCAAATAATGAGACACGTATTTTTTCTTTTGGCTCGGAAAAACTTTTCGGCCGATTTAAACGCGATTTTGTTTTTCAGGATAAAATCGATTATTCGAATTGACAGTGAGAATTTTTTTTTCAAATGCCCATAACTTTGTCAAAATTTAATAGATTCCAACAATGTTTTTACTCAAATGTCAGTAATTCTTGTCACTTCAAGATAGAATGATATAATTATTGATTTTCATTATTTAAAATTTTTTATTTAACAATAAACAAAAGGTGCAAATTTTTTTATTTATTTAATTTCTCAAAAAGTGTATTTTTTTCCCCCTCAAGCTTTTTTTATCGGGAAAGAGACACTTTGAACTACAATCAACCCAAATCTCTAATAACGAAAATTTTTTTTTCTGAGTTATGATTTTTTATAGAAAATATACGTTTTTGTGGTACATACCACAATATTCTTATATTGTTTAACTAAATGGAACATATGTATGTAATATATCAGCAAAAAGTACAGCCGTGATCAGTTTTTGTGTATCAAATAGATATTAGAACACACTTTCCACCATACAGTTTCGATTATAAAAAGCGGGAAAATGTGATTTTGTATTTCGAGCCTCGTAAAAGAACTGTCCAATTTTGTATGGAGGTCTATTTACGAGCTTTTCGTAAAATTACGAGGCAAATTTCATGCGCAAACGACCACGTAAACTTCAGTGTTACCGAGGGGCCGAAATTTGTATACTAAAATGCATGATAAAATAATGAAAAAATAATGAGCGAATAAAATGAATGAATTTTATCCACTAAATGTATTGACTTAGGTTTTCTGCTAATTTTCAGCATTTTTAATAGTATTCTAGCCAAGAGTGATAGAGACAAGATGGCGGGATGTGATGGAAACTACTATGAAACAAAAATTACTTCAACAAATCCTGGTTGATCTGTTAAATAGTCAGTTTACGCACCTATTTACACCTTTTCACAAAGGGGGCGTTCCCATTAAAGCCTCGTAAACTTACGAGTATTGTAAAATAATATAAATCTAGCATTTCTAGTTATCACTTTTCTTTTTTCCATTATTCCATTATATTACATGTTTCTTATATACTTAATAAAGTCAGTCGCCATCTTACATTGTAACTGCGCGTGTCTATCTCTGCTCAATAGGTTATGGGCTTATTCACTAATCGCAAAAAAAAAATATTTAAAAAGTTAAATCAACTAAAATGGTAACACGAACACTAAGCTTTCCTTTTGAAAAATTACGTGGACGCGAAAACTTCGACGTATGGCGAAGGAACGCCAAATCCTACTACGTGTTGAAAAGTTGCTGGAAGATAACACAAAATGGTTTGTCTGAGAATTCTTCGGAAAAGGATCGTGACGCAAATGAACGGGCGCTGGCAGAAATTACACTCATGGTGGAGCCGAGTAATTTCTCGCACATAGCAAACGTCGAAAGTGCAAAAGATGCATGGGACTCGTTAATGGCAGCATATGAAGACAGTGGTTTAACTCGCAAGGTAGAGCTTTTGAAAAAGCTGGTGCAGTTGAAGCTGGAGCAATTCCAATCCATTCAGGATTACGTGAACGAGGTAATAATGACTTCAATCAAGCTGCAAAATGCAGGTCTAAATATAGGTGACGAAGTTGTCGCTGGGTTGCCTAATGAGTATCAAGCACTCTGTAGTATATCAGAATAAGTCACTAACAACAACAAAGCCACACGCCTGTGTTATGCATTTTCGCAGCATAAACAAATTCCTTACTTTGTTATTTTCACACGCTAAACACACAAGCGGCACAAGCTATATCTGGTGCATGCGCTAGCTCTATGTATGTAAATATGTTCGACTGCGCTGCTAGCACCTTCACGCTTGGTACATGTAGATATGTCT